TGGGGAGGTGCACAGAGGCGAGCTCACAGAGGACCTGGTGTGCCAGGCTAAGGACTCACAGAATTTAGCCTGAAGAAAGGGGGGATGGGGCAGGGGCAGTGGCTCACACCTGTGATCCCAGCACTCTGGGAGGCAGAGGCGAGAGGATCCCTTGAGCTCAGGAGTTCAAGACCAGTGTAAGCAAAAGCAAGACCCTGTCTCTACTAAAAGTAGAAAAACTAGCTGCTTGTCATGGTGGGCACCTGCAGCCCCAGCTACTCAGGAGGCTGAGACAGGAGGATCCTCAGGAGGCTGAGGCAGGAGGGTCTCTTGAGCCCAAGAGTTTGAGGTTGCTGTGAGCTGTGACACCAGAGCACTCAACCCAGGGGATGGAGTGAGACTCTGTCTCAAAGAAAAAAACAGGAAAAAGAAAAGGGGACATGCAAGGTTTGGGCAGGGGAGGTCCCATGGATGTGAGAACGATCTCTCTAAGTGTCCAAATGCACCAGGCAACGTCAACATGAGGGAAGGCCAGGTGGATGAGGAGAGGACAAGTGTGCCTGGGTGAGAAGACAGAGGCCTCACCTAAGCCCCGGGATAGAGGAAAGTGTACTTACGCAGATGTCGGGGTCACTGAGACAAGGACTCTAGGCAAGGAGTGGGTTCCAGGTATGAAGGATCCGTTCACTGGTAAGTCTCAGGAACTTGACTCAAGAAACCCTAACAAAGACTTCTAAATTCTTTAAGATTATTAACAATAATAAGATGTTGATCTGCTGAAAATTCAGGGGGAAGAATTTGTGCCCAAGAAACGAAAAGGCTGATAGGAGAAAGAAGACAAAGAAATAATTTAAAGAGCCCTTGGGAATGCCAAAAAAAAAGAAAAGAAGAAGAAAAAAGAAATGAAAAACAGACAGCAAGAGCCTCCCCATCTCAATGCAGTAATCACAGCACAAGAAGAGGTTGGGAGACCAAGCTCATCACTGGGGAAAGGTTAATTTGTGCCTAGTGTGCTCTGTTGTAACAATCAGGGGAAACAGGAAATGGATTCTAGAAATGCACTGATAAAAATAGTTTAATAAAGACTTTTGCTGCAAAGGCTTTGGTTGCATAGAAAATTTATTTACTGTGGAAAACTTCACTCACCATCCCAACGAATAAAAAGCACTAGGTCACGTGTCCCTTTTCAGAAGGCAGGTGTGTCAGTGTCCAGCCCAGCTCTGCACCCAGACAAGCCTTCCTGCCTCCCAGCTGACACCCTCCGCCCTCCTGTGTCTCCCTGGCAGAGCCACCACTCTGGGACTGCTGGTGAGTTCTGTGGTTGATTTTGCTCAGAGCAACATTAAGCCGGCTCTAGTTTTAAGGCCATATGCTGCTGCATTAGCAGTTACTTCAAAAATTCTTTTAGAAGAAGAAGAGAGCCATTGCCAGGCAGAGAATTAATTAGCAGTAAATATATTCCTTACCTGTCCTTTATTATGATCTCACCACAGGTCTGGCAATAAACCGTGCAACATTCTTGGGCTTGTGGGCTTTGATTAAACATGGAAGTCGACTCTAAAGAAAATCGATAACAGAAAATCTTAGAGGCTGGAACAAATAAATACATTAGCATACTTATAGAATTTAATAACCACGATAAATTACCACCAATAAACCCTGTTCATGATCTACCTAGAAGTACACATTTAAATAGTATCATCTGATGACTCACCAGGAGCAAATATTGTGAAGTTGTTTTCAAAAACAACAGATTTTGCTGAGGGTGTCAGTGCTGGGTGTTGCCCTGGATTACCCACATAACATTTGTTGAGTTATTTCTCTCATTCTATAAATGCCGACATTAAAGATGGGTGAAAATGAATGATTCCTCCACGTGGAGCCCCGGGGAAAGATATGCCTGCTCAGCTGCCCTCTGCTGCGTCTCACAGCTCAGCTCCTCACCAGAGCAGCTGCTCGCAAGGGAGCTCTTTAGTTTAACCTGACCTAAGAAGCTATATCCACAGAGGAACAACACCATCTGTACAGACAGACGAGATCTCAAACTGGTCTTCCCAGGAGAGGGCCCTGGGCTACAATGGCTCTAAAGAAAGACCCACTAGTTCAAGAGCAAGATCCAGCTTCTGAGGAGCACTGTGGGAAGTGAGCATTCCCCTCACTGCAAAGCAGGAGACTGCCGAGAGGCATATTCCTTTGGTTTCTGTTACTTCTCTTATAAAAAAAGGACATTTTCACTAAAATGGCTATCTACAGAAATTCTAGGTAAAGAAATGAAACAAGGGCGGTACCTGTGGCTCAGTGAGTAGGGCGCTGGCCTCACATACTGAGGGTGGCGGGTTCAAACCTGGCCCCAGCCAAACTGCAACAGAAACATAGCCAGGCATTGTGGCGGGCGCCTATAGTCCCAGCTACTGGGGAGGCTGAGGTGAGAGAATTGCCTAAGCCCAGGAGCTGGAGGTTGCTGTGAGCTGTGATGCCACGGCACTCTATCAAGGGCGACAAAGTAAAACTTTGTCTCTATTAAAAAAAAAAAGAAAGAAAGAAAGAAAGAAAAACATGCCGACCAGTATCAAGAGATTTGAATTTGGTTTATGTTACTCCCTACATATTTTAAGGATGGAAAAAAAATTGATGTTAGAAAATTTAATCCTTGGCAATTAAAAATTCTTCGGTTTCTAGGGAGGACCTTGAATCCCTACAGCACTAAGGAGAAATAAACAGCATTATTTTTAACTTTGAGCAGACTGGTAAGAGACCTTGGGAAGACACCCCAGGCTTTCTCTCTAGGCCAATCCACAAATTGTCAGGGAAACACTGCCCTCTGCCGGCCACCCAGCACGAGACCCAGGGTCAGGCTCAACACGCAGAGCTTTCTAAGGCAGAGGGTCACGGCCCAGCCACTCCCTGCAGGAACCTAACACCTGCTCCTACAGCACATCAGGCTGCAGCCAGCTCCACCTCAGGGGTCATGACTGTCACTCAGAATAGAACGCCATGCGAGTTGACTGCAGCTGCCCTCAAGAGTGGTCTGGCTGTTGAAAAGTCAACTTTTTTGTCCTGAAACACAAACTGAATGCTGCAACTTTCGAAAGTCACTTCCTACAATGCAGTATTGACTCAAGTTCACATCAATATGCATCTACTCATACTTATTCATTCAGAAAATTATTTATTCACCACCAATGCTGTGAAGCTGCTAAAGCAATTAAGAGCTGAGGAATCTATTTTGCATACCCTTTCATGCACCGTGGAACAAGCTTTTAAAACTTCCTTTTCAGATATTTTAGTAAAATGTTTTGAAAGTGTACAGAAATAGGAGACCAGAGAACACAAACAATGTGCAAACCAGCACACAGCAGTTAATTCACTTTGTCCTGCAGTTAAGACTAAACAGCGCCTGCTGATTTACAATTTTAAAAATACTTCCAGTCTTGCTATTTGTAGACTGACAGTTACACAACATGGGTGGGCAACAAGGTCCGCTGTGTCCATGGAGGTCTACATTCCTGCTCCCTAAAGGCACAGTGACAGAAGACTAGGAAATGCTCCCCCATGACATCTGAGCCTGACCCCCGCTTCCCAGATCCAACACAGAATTCCCACTGTGGTTGCTGGTATTCCTGTCGCTAATGGACCAAGTAATGATGTCACCAGATCCAGACCCCCATGGCCTCCTCTTGAAACACTTTCCCTGCCTATTATTAGGCGTACTCGGGGCCTATCCCCATCTTGGGGACCCTAGCCTTCTTTCTGTGCTTGCCCAGGAGTTGTCCTTAGCATTCATGCTCTGCCACTGAAGTTCCATTGATACCTCTTTTCTCTACTCCTTGTTCCTAAAAACCAACTCTACTCAACCAAACTAGCTATTCACTAATCCAGGACTAGCAAAAATTACTCTCCAGCAAAAAAAAAGAGTAAAACTCTGTCTTCACTTTCCTCCTCCAAGGCAGGACCAGAGACTCGGAAATGCCCACATGTCCAGTGGCTCTTCAGGACAGTCTGCCTGACCCCACTTCCCACACACCTCAGACGAAGGGCTTATTACTACGAGGCGACAGTGAAGTCTCGGGGTACAGCCGAAAGAACTCCTCTCCGTCTCTGACAACAGACATCACGTGGGTCTTTTATAGTCTGTTTCCCCTTCTTACTGCATTTTAATCCTCAAAGCATATTATTCATGTTGTGAGAGATGTACTGAACCAATAATTTTATTCAATAAATCCTGAGGTTTTATGAAAAGAAACTTTCCTTTGCCTTACTGAATCAATATACTGATCATAAAAAACTGTAAATATAATAGGCAGAGCCACAATCAAAACTAAATCATGCATCAGACTCTACTTTGGGACCTTTATGTGTACTGTCCTACTTGGAACTGTCCCCACATGGACAGAATCATTTTTTTATTCTCTTGTCAAACACACCCTCTTCGGAGTGGCCTCCCTGACTACCCTTCACCCAACCCCTCCTCACTCCCTATCCCATTGTTCTGGTTCACCTTGCCCACGACACTTTTCTGGGTATGCAATTCAATTTTGTGTTGATTCTCTGTTTCCACCCACTAAACGTAAGCTCTGAGGAGCAGAGACCTTCCCTACCTCACTCACTCCTGCATCCCAGTGCCTGGATATCCACGCCTAACAGGGGGCATGAACTGAAACACCACTGAATGAACATTCCCAGGTCATGCTTGAAAGCAACCAGGCCTTGCACAACTGCCCTCTGATCTAATCTTCACGTCACATCTCTCAGTTGTCGATTTTACAATTAAAGAAACAAAACCGAAGCTGTGAACCTACAAAGGCTCCTGAAGAGGGAGGCCCACAAGACACGCTCCTCCCAGGCTGCTGCTGAAGAGTCTATTCACCTGGGAAAAGTTCAACTTGTCAATAGAACATCACCTCTGCTTTATAAGGAAGAAAAACGCAGAAATGAAATGCTGCTCTACTTACTCATGCTAGGCTCAGCCCGGGCTCGCAGCCGCAGGTGCAGACCATCCCCAGCGTCCCAGTGCAGCCCGCGGCAGGAGGCAGGCTCCAGCCTCACCCATGCAGGCAGCCGCAGCTCCGTGCAGCCTGCCGGGGCTTCCACACAGAGCGAGGATGGGGTTAGGGAGAGGTCCATGGGCAGGCCTCCTCCTTCCACTTCCCTGGTAAATAAAAATAAAACCCAAACAAGTTATTCCTCATAAAGAAAACCACACGGTGAAAGAAACAAAAATGACCAAGGACCTCTCTGTTCCTCTTCAATAGGGCTCTAAAGTCCTTGCCCCAGGAAAATAGCCTCGAGCAGGTCGTAAAAGCAGCACATCTCGGCTGGGTTTAGGTCAGACCACACAGTATCCTCCCTGTCTGGGAACATGCAAGTCCCAGGACACATTTCTGTTCTTGCTTCTGAGATCAGCACCACAATCACACTTCACGTTGCAGGATCAGAGCAGAGTGCCGTTCCTTCACATCCAGGATTTTGATAAAGAGACTAGGAGTAAGTGAAGCAAAAGATGCCAAGGGAAAGCTTTCTTGTCAATTTTAAGAATAAAAAGAATTAATGAAGAAAACAATACAGCTATGTATGAACACTAATCTGATTCACAGTAACACAAACCACTCCATGTTGGCACGAAGAGCGACCCCATCCTCTGTCTGCCAGGCGTCAGAAGCACAGAAGGGTGAAGGCACGTACAGAAGTGACCCTCCTTTGAGACTGAGATATGCCAAACATTATTATAACAGGGGGACAAAGTCAACAGCTCCTCTTAAGTACAGACTGCAGGCCATCCTCACAGGGCCACCTGCTTGAGCGTTATCTCAGCACAAAGGGCTAACCACACATTCAGGTTAGGCTGTTTTTTTAGAGACAGTCTTACTTTGTTGCCCTCAGTAGAGTGCCATAACATCACAGCTCACAGCAACCTCCAGCTCTTGGGCTTCGGCGATTCTCTTGCCTCAGCCTCCTGAGTAGCTGGGACTACAGGCACCGGCCACAACACCTGGCTATTTTTTTGTTGCAATTTGGCTGGGGCTGGGTTTGAACCCACCACCTTAGGTATATGGGGCTGGCGCCTACTCACTGAGCCACAGGCGCCACCTGGCTTTTTTTTAATTTCATTCTATTTAAGAGAGAGACCTTGGTTTGTTGCCCAGGTTGGAGTGTAGAGGTCCAACCATAACTCACTGCAGCCTCAAACTCTTGGGCTCACATGATCCTCCTGCTTCAGCCTCCCAAGTATCTGGGACTACAGGCACCTGCCATACTTGGCTAATTCTTTACATTTTTTTTGTAGAGACAGAGCTCTCACTATGCTGCCCAAGCTGGTCTTGAACCTCTGGCCTAAAACCATTCTCTCACCTCACCCTCCTACAGTGTTTGGATTACACCACTCCCAGCCAGGCCTTTTAACTTGCCTTAGAACAGTGGTTCTCAACCTGTGGGTCATGACCCTCAGGAACTGTATTAAAGGGCTGCGGCATTAGGAAGGTTGAGAACCACTGCCTTAGAAAATCTTACAATTAATTTTCTGGCTAGTTCCTTTTCAAAACACATAGATCTGTACTTAATTGACAATAAAGAATATCAATTTTTGCAGGGAAAACAACCTCAAACAATTGCGTCAAAAGTCCAACTTCAAGAAAAGATGTTTAAAGACTAAAATCCTCTACGGCAGGAGTCCGCAGACTCTTCCGTAAATGCCCAGATACTAAATACACAGGCTTTGTGAGACATGTGATCTGTTACACATTCTACTTTGTATTTTTTAAAACACTTAAATATACATATATAAATCCATTCTTAGCTCACAGGCTATACCAAAACAGGCTGTGGGTAGGACCTGACCAATGGGCTATACTTTGCTGACCGATACTCTAAAGCTACACAGTATCCTTTTTGCCACCTCAATAATTTTCAAACTGGACTATGAAGAGCTGACACTTACAAGGGACTTAAGGGAAATCACTGTGTCCCTAAGTCCCCACTGTCACCCTGCTCTGGCTGCCACTCTTCTTCCCTTCCTGGAAAATTCCATCATTTCCATGAGGCCATGCAAAGTAGGCATCAGGGCAAATGCAGGGAACCACGGTGGCCTGGAGCAGATGTGAGAAACCAGGCAGGGTGTGCAGGGCATCCACAAGGACCACTGGTCAGCAGGGAGGGTGTCACCTGGTGGGGGGAGGGGTCTGAGTGGGAGATGGGCAGCTCAGCACTACTGCTGCAGACCCCTCTTAGCCTGAGCTGCTGGAACAAAACACCACGGGCTGGGCGGCTGAAGGACAGACATGGCCGAGAGAGGAAGTTCTGGAGGCTCCTCATGTAAGAACGCTGTTCCCATCACAGGCCACCACCTTCACATCTCATCTAACCCTATCACCTCCCACACTGGGGGTTAGGGCTTCACGTATGAATTTGGGGGTGGGGGGACACAAAGACTCAGCCCATAACAGAGTCCACACAGATGAGAGAAAAGGGAGAGAGGGGGTAAAGGATGGCCCCACGAGGGGACTGACCAAGCAGATCATGTCGCAAGGACAGGACAGGAGGGCCAGCATGCCCAGTGGGAGGGGTTACAAAGCGAGAGATGGAGAAGACTACGGTGAGAAGTGTGTGTGAAGTCGCGGCTTTCAATGATATCAACAGTGCTGCAGGCAGAGGTGAGTGGAGGAGGGTGCTGTGTGTCTGCTCATCCACATGGAAACACCACGCGTGTGTCACACAGACACCCTGGCTCTGTGAGAGAATGCAGGCAATAGTAATGACCACACTTGGGGCCCAGACCTTGGCTTGCAAAGGCCATTTTCACTTAAAAAACAAAAGTAGAGTTCCTTAGTGAAACGACTACATCCAGTGAAAGGGAACAGAAAAAGAAGGCAGTAAACCTAGAATATGTTGCTGTGCAGCAAATTAAGGAAGAAATCAAAGAAAGGTAAGCACACGTCCAGATAGACACAGGAGCCACCTCGGAGGGACTGCCCTGCCACATGTGCTTCAAGTAAAAAAGTAACCCACTGAATGAAACTGATGTGTCCTTGCTGATGTAAATAAATAAACAATCAGAATAAACGAAAGTCGTGTGAGGAACGAGGTATTCAGTCTCAAAATACCTCTCAATTACGTACCCATTACAAAGAGAGAGAGGCGTGGAGGTGGAGGAGCAGTGGGCACGGCCTCACTGATGTGCTCAGTCAGCACAGCCAGCAACAGAGCAAACCAAAATCAGGGGCCACCCGGCCGTGCAGCGTGCAGAGTCACACACCCCGACCACCAGGCAACACCACCTCTACCACGTTCCTGCCAAAGACGCACAGCCTGAATCTCATCTTGAGAAAACACTAGACGAAACCAAATGGAAGAGTGTTCTGCAGAATTGTTACAACCTTCAGAAGTGTCAGGATGCAGAAAGCCCGGGAAAACTATAGACTGAAACTGAGCACGGAGGAGGGAGATCTTTTTGCTGGTTAAGGATGTTCTGTGGACAACGGGCAGAACGTGAATGAGGTCTGAGTACAAGGTGGTAGGAACATATTTCCTGATTTTGAGGGTTGCATAGTACTTATTTAGGAAAATGTCCTACTTTGAGACTCTAATTCTGGTACCACAGTACATAAAATCCTCTCATACTTGAGTCTGTCTTCACTATTCACTTGTAGTCTTTCAAGTATCACACCTTGCTTATAAGTATCCAGTAACTTCCTCTACGGACAAGGTGAACGGTCTGTAAGGCACAAGGATACACTCAACGCAGATCCTACAAACCCTGCTGTCAAATTCCCAGGAATTCTGCCAATCCCTTCAATTCACCAGCTAGTAGGTCTAAGGTCATCTATGGTGAAAGTATTTACTCCATAGGAATGAACAAATGTAGAAGATAAGCTCCCCTTGCTCAACATGGCAGTTCGCTTCAATGTGCTCCTCCAGGAGATTGGTTCTGAGAAACATCTCTTTGAAGATCGAGCTTCTGTACCTGCCTACAGATACACAGAAATATGCAGAAAGGTCTCTTTGTCAAGGAAATGTGGAGAATCAGCGGGGGTGAACAGACCAGTCTTCGAGCATTGGGTTCTATTCTCTGCCTTCCTCCTTCATTAACATCATAATCCCTAGTTGGATTTGGGCTAAAAGGAACAGACAGCCAGTCTCTCTTATGTTTTTACTCTAAACAAAATCAATTGTATATGTGTTCCTCAGCCCTTCACACTAAATTGTAATCTTAAATGGTAGCTTCCTAATGTTACTTCACCTCTTTGTATAGGTGTTAAATTCTTACTAAATGTTGGAAAGTATATAAGATAATCAGTAAAGTTTAGCCAGGCCGCCAACCAGAGCGAGTCCCGGTCTCCCTTAAATTATCATTCCGTCTGCAGTTCTTTCTCCTGTGCCTCCGATCAGAAGCTCCAAAGAACACACCATCAAACAAATGTTGCCAATCAGATCTTTTCCTTGATTGGTTTGGTTTTCCTGGAGTTTCTAAGAGTTTTGATCATGAACACGTATTGTGTTTTATCTAGTGACTGTCCACATGTACTGAGATGGTTGTGTTTTTTCCTTTAGTCTTTACATCTGTGAATTACATTACAAAAATCCATTCGTGTTCAACCGCCTTGGCAATCTTGGGATAAACTTTGTCCTTTTATTTCCTCCATCCACAGGTGTTTACTGAGTTCCTTATCTAGTGTCAAAAACAGCATAGTCAACTGATTTCTCACAAAGATGCCGAGTTATTTCAATGGGAGAAACAATGCTTTTTTAGTGATGAAATAGTTGGATATCCTTAAAGGAAAAAATCAACTTTGACTCCTCACTGCAAACACAAAAATGAATTTGACAGGATCACAGCTCAAGATATACAAGCTAAAACTACATAGTTTCTGGAAAATAAAACAAGCAAAAAATTTTCACAACCTTGGGGTAGGAAAAGATTTCAGACATACAAACACTAACAACTAAGGGAAAAACAGTGATTAACTTTCATTAAAATTTCTGTTTATCAGAAGACACTCTTCAAAAAATTAAATGGCAAGTCACAGATTAGAGAAAAATATTCACATATTAATAAGGCATATATATGAAAAAAGTTTTGATTCAAAAACTATGTAAAGAAATTTTTTAATTTGATAATAACGCAAACAACCTGATTTTTAATGGCAAAAATTAGAAGATACTTTTAAAAAGAATGTGCATGAATTGCCAAAATGCAAATAAAAGGCACTTAAGATTATTAGACCTGGGAGAAATGCAAATGAAACAAGTCACCACTTAACACCCTCTAGAATGGCTCAAACCAGAAAGACTGACCACACTAAACCCAGGTGCTAATACGAAGCATTGGCACTCTTGTCCTGGTGAGTCTATAAAATGGAACTTTGGAGAACTGTTTGGCAGCTTCCCACAAAATAATGCCCATATCTACCCTATGACCCAGAAATTTCACTCTGGTATTACCCAAGAGAAATGAAAATGCACGCCCACAAAGTATGGCAGCTACAATCATAATAAGCAAACTCTGCAATCCAGCACAGGCAAATGGATAAACGAATTGTGATCTATTCTTACAACGGAAAACTACTTAGCAAGAAAAAAGGACTACAGATACATGCAACGATACAAATGAAACATGAATTCCAAAGACATCATGTTGAGGAAAGCAGCCGCAACAGAGAAGTACATACAGTAGGAATGCATTTGAATGTAGTTCAAGGAGTAGCAAAGGCCCCGGGTTACTCAACCCTGCAATCCTAGAACTCTGAGACCAGCAGAGACACATTGCCTGAGCTTAGGAGTTCAAGAGCAGCCTGAACAAGGAGAGCCTCTCTTTATTAAAAATAGGAAAAACAAAATCATGGGCATGGTGATGGATGCCTGCAAAATACTGCGTAGTCAGAGAAACTCAAGAGGTGGAGGCAGGAGGAATGACTGAGCCCAGGAGTCTGAGGTTGCTGTGAGCTAGGCTGCCATCACGGCACTCCAGCCTGGGTGACAGAGCAAGGCTCCGTCTTGGGGAAAAATAAAAATTGGTAAAGCTAATTTATATTTAATAAAATCAGAATAGCGGTTGTTCCTAGGGTAGGGGAATTGTTATCTAGTAATAAATCTCAACGAAGACCACCGCCCACAAACCAGCAGTCCAGAAAAGTTAGGTTTCTAGAGTTATTAAACAAGTGAGCAAGCATACTCCAGGAGAACTGAGAAAGGTGTTTTGTTTTGGAAAGGTTTGGGCTCCTAATTACCCTACAAGGTGGACTGAAATTGGAGATATTTGTCCAAACCCAGGATTTTTCAAAGAGAGAAAGAAATTCAGAGAGTACTATTACCCTTATTTTAAGATTGAAGAAATTCAGGTTAAATTACTCTAAATGTGTGAAAAAGCTAGGACTTGAACTCAGTTCTCGCGTCAAATTCCAAACTGCCACAGCAGATATCTGGCAAATCTGAGGAAAACCTACGCATCCATTTACCCGCGGGGCTCTAAGTAAACTTACAGCAGCCACAGGAGGAACACGCACTATCAACACTGCTGTCAGATAAACAAAACAAAAAGGAGAACTTTCCCCCGAAGTTTCTTGTTTGTGTAGTGCATAACAAGTTCTCATTGGACTCCTCATTGGAACTGGGGACAAGAATGACAGAGTAAGCCCGGTAGGAGGGCTGCCACCTTCCCGTCCGTCCGCGGGGCGCAGGTCACGGAGTGGCCGCGGGGGCCCATCCGCAGAGCGCGGGAGGAGGAGACGCGCCCGCGGGCCCCGACCTCACCACACGGACCACGGATAGAGGCAGACCGGCCACTGTCCGCACCGCCCCCGCTGCACATCCCTGCTCCTCAAACTCCGGCGTGCCCTGGGCGGAGGGGGCCGGCGGGGCGGACCCCCGTGTCCACCCCGCTCCCGAGACGCCCAGGCCGCCAGACGCGCGGGGAGGCTCCGGGCAGCCGGAGGGGAGACGCTCGGCGCCCCCGGCCCGCCCGGGACCCGTCTTACCCCAGGACCAGCAGCGCGCTCTGCAGCTGTCTCCGCACCTCCAAGAACACGCGCGTCCCCGCCGCGGTCGCCGCCATGGCCGGGCCGAGCGGGACCGAGCCGAGGGTCTCACGAACCCGAGTCAACCCGGCCAGCAGCCGTCACACGTGTGGCGCGAGAAGCTGCGGCCTTGGTGGAGGCGGCGGTGCGGACGCCGGGATCCGACAGGCTGCGGGCC